GTGAAATATGGGCTTATTCGGTTCAAAACTTGAAGGGTCAGAATAATACTGGAAACTATTCTAGTGCAGCTGATTTGCTCTTTTTTTTTTTTTTTTTTTTTTGCCTTGGTTTCAACACACTTCTGCATAGTCTGTTGCAGAAATGGGCTTGCCTTTTAATTTCCCTCTCCTGATCACACCACAGAAACTGCTGTATGGGGTTTACAGCCCATTAATATACAGCTTCAAGAGAAAAGGCAATTCAAGAAAGGCTTTAAGAAAAACAGTATAACCGAGTCATCAAATGCACATCAAGAATGAAGGCAGAAATCCTTCTGGAACTTCCCTCAGGTTCCAGTCTCAGGTTTCATTCTTGCTTACAGGTAACCAGAGAAAACACGACCTGTGTGTAAACCGGTGAATTAACTTGCCTAAGCACTCACTGCTAGACTGAAACACTTAGACACTACGGCGGCGAAGCCAGCGCCAAATCCTGGCGACTTGAGAAGACCGAACGTTTGGGGGTGGAATGCAAGGGGTCTGGGAATAGAGAGAAGTTCAGTGCCGGGAGAAAAGATGCAACAGTCGAGAGGAAGTTTAAAGGCCAAGGACACACGAAGTCTTTGAAACAATAAGGGTGAGGAAGTCAAGAAGCAGACTCGCCAGAGCCACATTGAAACAATTTATTTTATAGGATCCCCTACATTTCCAGAATTAGTGAGCAGAAGAAGCGCCACGCTGGGAACGCAGGCTGTGGGCTCTCGCGCTCACACGGGCTCGGCGAGAGGGAAAAAGTCAAGTCGACTCGGGTCTCTTTCGCCTGGGCATTTCAAATGAAAATATAAGGAGGAGGGCGGAGAGAGGAGACAAAACGCAGCTCGCAAAGACGGACTCCAGCGAAGTCTGCGATAAAGATTAACTGAGGAAAAAAGGGAAGTCCAGAGCAATTAAAACCCCTACCCTGGCTCATTAGTATTCATGACCGAATGTCCGGCTTTTCTGTTTATCTTTCTCCCAGGATCAATATCGGAGCAGCGTGGGCCTGGGAGGGGCCCGAGCCGGGCCCTGCGTGTGCCTGACCTTCCGCGCCCTCCCTACAGGTCAGAGCATCTTCAGAACCCGCCGGCCTCCGCCGCGCCCCAGCTCATTAAAGCCAGCATTCATCTGCCGCGGGGAGACGCGGGG